AAAAATCCCTGTGGTTTTTTTTTTTTTTTTTTTTTTTTTTTTTTTTGCTGCCCTCATCAGCGTGGTTTCCGTAGAGATTTTAATGGGACCGTGGTCATCAGCGTAGTTTTGGGCGTTTTTAATTGCATTACGGCGCTGAAACGTATCCGCAACCGCCCTGGTGTGGACGGGGCCTCCAGGGATCTTTAAAGTGACACTACACTCAGGAGTAAAACCTTTAATATACATTCAGGAACCTCAACTATTAACACCAATGTATCTTATTTGTGTATCACTCGGCTGTAGATCCTCAAATCATCTCTGAATCGGTGCTGACACTGTCCTTCCTTCTGGAAGGGGGCTACTTTTGTTCCCCATGGTCCCTGTGTGTGTTGTAAAGTAGTCACCGCTCCAAGCTCACTCCCGGGATGGACTACAATCTCGGGTTTAGTTTACTAATTTGTACTGTTGTAGTCCATCCCGGGAGTGGGCTTGGAGCGGTGACTACTTTACAACACAGGGATCATGGGGAACAAAAGTAGCCCCCCCTCCAGAAGGAAGGACAGTGTCAGCACCAATTCAGAGATGGTTGGAGGATCTACAGCCGAGTGATACACAAATAAGATACATTGGTGTTAATAGTTGAGGTTCCTGAACGGGCTCGCTCCCGTTTATGGACTACAGTCTCAATACAAATTTTAAAAAAACTAAACATGAGATTGTAGTCCATCCCGGGAGTGAGCTTGGAGCGGTGACTACTTTACAACAGAAGTGGCCACCCTCCCTTTATTTCCTGGGACTCTGGCACAAGTGACCATGCACATTATCTCAGGGGAGGAAGATCCCTTTCCCTGACATCTCATGAGATTAGAAATGACATTTTCCGGCAATGCTCTGCTGATTCCCAGAATGCAACGCTTGGACATATTATGTCACTTTTGCCAAAGTGGACCAGGAAGTAGAAAAGAAGTTTGTAAGTAAAGTGGAAATATGTTTGTTTAATGAATGTTGATGGCATAGCACGCAGAGCTGCATGCTGATGTGATGTCTAGTGAAAGGTGGTAAAGTTCCGCTTTAACTTCATTCAACTCTTTAAGGTTTGGATGATAAGGGTGTCGTGCGGTCCTGTATAATGCAATCAGTGATTTCCGTGAGGCCCCATTGATTTCGCTGGGGTGACATCCACCTGGCAATCGCAGAAAAAAAAAGTACATGTGCCTTTTTTTTTTCTTGCGATACATGACGTGCAGCTGTTTAGCCGTGATAGTGTTCAAAAGCACTGGCGGAATCCCACGCAATCCGCCCTGCGCGACTGGGGTGCCATTAGAAAATAATGTCACCTACTGCGCGATTGGTTCACACCTTGGCAAATCCTGACTGCGGGGCAATCCGTGTGGAATCGTGCACGATTGCTGCTCGGTGAGGTGTCGGCTAGGTGTGTACCTAGCCTGACACATCCACACCTGATTCTGACCAGTCCATGACCAGGTGGGGGAGTGCTTTTGCATTGGCTCCTATTACAAAGGGTGTCCTGCTGGGTTTATCCTGATAGAGAATCTATGGGGTCCAAGTGGACCAGTTGAAACCAACGCTATGCCGTCTGCTTTTAATATATGAAGGAAAGACTCCAGTGAGGACGCGGGAAGGTCTTCTTACAATCAGTTCCTGAACATTATCTCATGAGTAGATCATGTGATAGGCCGCAATCCAGACTCCTTAGAAAACCATAATATCATGGTGTCTGCATTTAAATATATGAAGAAACAGGAGAGGAACCAGGCAGGTCGTCTTACACTCACTTCCTGGATATCATTACAGCCAGAAGTCTGCTCTTTGCTCTGACAGTAAGGCATTGTTCCCACCAAGCGCGTTCCAGGAGCAGAGCAGTTACAGACCGGAGCAAAACTGCGTCCAATGTATTCCAATAGTATTTTTAGCTCCAGTTCAGTTCCAGAGCATGTAAAAAAAACTGCAGCATGTCCTATTTTACCTTCTCTGGAATGCATGCAAATGCCCTGGAACGCACTGAAAGGCCATTTTAAACTAAAAAAAAGTGGGTTTTTTTTTACCCCAAAACGGCCCGGAATGCATCAAAAACGCGGCACAACCTACTCCACTGTGTGTGCAGAAACTCATGCAGGTCTGCTCTGCATTTGGTGTGAACAAGGCCTGTAGATCCTTCCCCTGCAGTATTCAAAACCAAAGCAAATGTGTTGGCTGCTGTTCTGTTGCATCAGTTTGTGAGTCTGACGTAAGTGGACATCAGCTCCTGGGGAAAGCAAGTCATTCTTTGACTTTCTTAATCGCTAAATGCTGATTAAAGACCATTTGTGATTGGAAATACAGCCGTTCCCTATGTGGTCTTAGTTGGTGGTGTTTGCTTATGAAAAAAAAAAAGATTTAGGAGATCCACTTCTACATGAACAGAGTTCTAATACTGGAGGCAGCTCACCAGCAACAGGACTGCCGGCTTGTGCCTATATAGTTAGTTACTTGCTGGTGAAAAGACTGCAGAATCTCCTGCTGCTGAAATGGATCAGAACCACAACTGGGTTCACACAAGATGTCTGCTGCTGTTCCTAATTATGTTGTGTTCGGTGCACCGGAAAAATCACAAACACAGGGTTAACGGTCTATGAAGATTCTAATTTATTCAGGGCGGTCTCTCTTTTATACACAGATAACAGGAGAGTGTTCGTCACACATATGCCCACATCTGTCAATGTCTTGTACTATTGGGTAAACTGGAGGAGCTGTCAGTTAGCCCTCGTTCACACCTGAACGTTTTGTAGCGCGTTCTACGCTCGACGAACGCTCAAAAATATAAATCCCATTGTATTGAATGGTCTCGTTCCCACCTTGGCGTATTTCCGCCCGTCCCTAACGCGCTACAAAACGGCCCACGCCTGAAAAGGTTCAGGTACTACTTTAGGCCGTTTTGTTGCGCGTTTCCATTGGGATACAGCCAAGTAGCCTTCGGAAACGCGCGACGGTCGCGTGACTTTTTATACCGCATATACGTGCATATGCAATACGCCTAGGTGTGAACGAGACCTTAAAGTCTTGTGTCTCTCGCTAATTGGTTAGTCGAAGATATCTTCTGCCTGTAGCATCCTCCCTCTGCATTCTTTTCATGCATCCTCGGCGCATTTCCGGATACAGGATATCTCTTGGTTACGCATAGCAACGCTAACGCTGAGTAAGGAAAGTCACAAAGCTAGGAAGCAAATGAAACAAATTCAAACATAGGAAAATACATTTTCTTGATATGATCCATATTCCTTCACACCAGCATGAGAACAGCAATGGAAATATATCTGTAGGACCCGGCCAGTACCGTCTCTGCCCTTTAGTGGTCGTATGCCTTTTGGCAACATATGTGAAATGGCTTTTGGAATTTGTGAAAAAGCTGAACACTGGGCCCACAGAAGAGGACAATGTTAACGGTAGAGGCAGGTGCCTCGTGGTGCCCACTCTTGGGTAGAAACGTGACTGCTGACAGGTTTGCTTTGATCCATTTAGTAGTTTTTGGTTAGCTTGCTCACGTGCTCAGCTACTAAAATATTTGAAGTATATCTTAAGCCGATGGTTTTACTGGTAAAGTGATCCCATGCTGACACATTTGGGAGTGGCCATTGCTGACCATGTTTTTTTAAAGGTTTTCGGGACTCTTCTCCGTGTTTTGGCTTCCTTGCTTGTGTTTGCGTCCCGACAAGCATTTAATGGAATGGCGGACGTCACTTAAGGCATGCTTGCTCAATGACTCGCTTGGTAGTGAAGCCAAGTAGGAAACCCTCTGCTCCTGACCTTTTGGAAAGCCAAATCAGAAATGGTGGCTCCCATATTTCTATACCCATTCAAAGCCTATAGTGAAGGTGTGATGGTCAGGCCACCACAAACTTTTGGCCTTTTCCTTTCAGACACTAGCGCCCCTGTCCTGCCAGTTTTTAAATTCCGGCCATTTCCCGCGCGCGCAAGGGGGCGTGTCTGAGCGGACGTCTAGAGACGCCCGCTCAGATCGAGAGAGCTGGCCGGCCGTTTTTTTACTACGGCCGGCCCGGAGGTAGTTAAGCATCCCTGCACCCTTAAAAATAAATAAAAAACATACAGGCAGTCCCGAGTTACATACATCCAACTTACATACGACCCCTACTTACAAACGGAGGCTATTACTGTACAGCAGGGGGTCCCAGGCTGCAGCCAAAGTGTACCGTGCAGCATTTCAGTCGTAGTACTACCACACTCGTGCCAATGAGGAGTGCACGCCTTTTTGGGTCTGGTTCGTAGTACTGTACGTACATTACAGGAAGTTGGCTCTTGTTAGACGTGCAGACGAGGGGTGCCCGCCTATTCTTCCGGGTCACTGTGAGGTTTTTACTGCTGTCTGTATCCTCATTAGAAAGATTTCATCTCACTTCCTGTCCTTGAGACTACAGGAAGTGAGAGGAAATCTACCCCTAGGAAGGGGAATTCACCCCTGTAAGAGTTATCATGGGATAAAGGTGTCTCCACTGAAGCTTTATCACCAATCCTTGTTTCCACGACAACCCAACATTTTCAAAATCAAATTGTCACAGGGACAGAAAGTGAGGTGAAATCTTCTGAACAGGGGCGCGCGCGCAGCAAAACAAACTTTACAGGGGGTAAACCCTTCCTTATGCTTTCCAAAACCAAAAAAAAGTTTTTTTGGGTTGGAGTTGCACTTAAAAAAATGTACCTGTTCCAACTTACTTACATACAAATTGAACTTAAGAACAAACCTACAGTCCCTATCTTGTTCGTGATCCGGGCACTGCCTGTACATACATTTTTTTCAGGTATCTTCATTATTGTGATATGACAGGTCCTCTTCTTCCTTTGGTGATGGGTGACCTAAAAGCTGTGGGGATCGTGGCACCCCTACCTGCAGCATTTTCCTGGGAGTCCAGATTGAGGGGTGGAGCTGTGACACTATAGACTCACAGGAAGTGGATTTGATAACTGATAAAGCACCAAAGTGGACAGAAAACTGAGAGCTCAGTCCTATCACTGTCTTGTGGTACTTTACTAAATGTATCCAACATACAGCGGATCTGATGCCATCACCAGCAACGATCACAAACAGAACGAGAAGCACTCAGATTAAAAAACAATATTGACTTGGTGCATTTTAAAAGTGCACACAAATAACTGGTTAATAAGCTCAGGTTAAATATTTAATGTTCTTCTTCCACCGATCACCACGCCAATAAGCTTTCATATGATATAGATTATCTGCCTGCTGGCAGAATCCTTTTATGGCACATCAATGGAAAGTGTTATCCCATGCTTCCTATAATTAACTCTTTCCAGTATGACACACCTGAACTCCACCTTTTAAAGTTGATCTCCGTACGGATGTAAGAGACACTAATGCGGCTCTGTATTCATTATCGTATCACCAAATGTATTCTGTAAATGGGAGCCGTGTAAGTACTGGAAGTTGACTTGGTATTGTTAGGACGGGAGATTCCATTATTAGGAGACAAATTGACTGGAAAATCTTCCACCAGCCGAGTATAGATCACCTTTCCTCAGCCAAGATTCCGTGGATCCCCCTAGGGTACCTCCAGAGGTTGCTGGAGATTTTCATAAAAAAAAATATCAGGGTTATTCACAAAAGGGTGAAGAGTTTGGAGAAGGCCGGAGAAGTGAACAATCTAGGACAACATAGCTGAGCTGGAAAGTGAGCTGAATTGGAGAATGTTTCCAGTTCAGCTATGTTGTCCTAGATTGTTCCCTTCTCCTGACTGCTCCAAACTTCACTCTTTTGTGAATAATCCTGAAAAACTTTCTCTCAGTAACTACACACATACAATATATTTAAGGGATGCACTGATATATCGGCCGAAAATTACACTTTTGGCATAATGTCGAAAGTGCAATTTTCCTGCCGATACTTCAGTGCATCCATTGATCCTCTCCTCCCCGCTGGGCGCTCCTCGGTGTCCCAGCGGGGAGGAGAGAAACTGATAGCCGCAGAGCGCTGTGAGTGGCCGGCGTCTCCTCCCACACCACTCAGCCTCCTATCACAGTTGAGCAGAGCGGTGTGTGGGCGGAGACAGGCCCCGCTGTCACAGGAGGCTGGGCTCTCCTCCCGCACCGCCCCGCCCAGCCTCCTGTGACAGCGTGTCAGAGAGGAGAGCGAGGTACAAGCAGTCAGTGATCGCTGAGTGTGTGTACATAATTGAGGACATGGTATGGTTACTATATCCCCAACTATGAATGAATGAGAAGTGATCTACATCACCTCCTGTACATTCATGATTGTGGTTATAGTAACCATACTCTGTCCTCATGTTATGAATCAACAGGAACACTCAGTATAGAGGATTCCTGTTCATTGATAACAGGGGCTGAAGAAAAGAGATTGAGGACTATGTGTCCTCAATCTCTTTTTCTATTTTAAAAAGGGAAATATCAGGGGTCTGTTTAGATCCCTAATATTTCCCCGAAGCCCCTAAAAAGTAAAGAAATAAAAATATTTTTTAAAAATTTTTTAAAAAGTTTATAAAAAAATAAACTATATAAAAAATGTAAATAAAAAACATTTTTGGTATTGGTTTTGGCCGGACAATTTTTTATTTCGGTTTTAAAATTTCCATTTCGGTGCACCTCTAATATATGTATATATGTGTGTATTTGTTTTTGTGTTTGTTTGTGTCCTGTTTTATGCAGCTGAATCAGTCTTATCGGGTTGGGCCCGAGAGGGCCGTTTATGTCTTAAAGGAGAATTATGAGGCGAGGGATTTTCACTCAGCCTCATAATCTGAGCCGACCTGTGACAATGAGACTGTCACAGGTCGGCTCAGTAGATTGGGAGGTGAGCGAGCACATACCGGCGCTCGCTCACTTCTCGATCTATCCTTGCAGAGAGCCGTAACCGTCACTCACGGCTCCCTGCAGGGATTCCCCCCTCCCCGGTCTGATCATCCAGCGCTGACTGGCGGAACGGACGGGGGAGGGGGCGGGTACAGCTGGCTCTGCCTCTGGATAGGCAGAGCCAGCTGTCACTCACACAGCTGGGTGGATCCAGACAAAATTGTCGGGATCTGTCCCAGCTGCGGCGTCTCAGTAAACTGCAAGCTGTAGCTCGCAGTATACTGAGCTTTGGGTGACAGGAGGACGCTAGTTTGCGTCCTCCCTTTACCCTTAGGAGAACTATGGGGAAAAGCCCTGACCCCATAGTTCTCCTTTAAATTTATTTGTGTCGAGATAATGATCTGTAAAAGTTTATGTTTTATGTTCTAAATAATATAAATGAATTATTTTTTTAATTCTTTAAGGTTTTTAGAACATGAAGTTCCCCGTATAAATACAATATGGGCAAAGGAAATAAGATGCCGGGATAACTGCGTTGCACTTCATGAGTCAAAGTAATTTTATTGATTAATGACATTGCAAGCATGCTCATTGTGAGAACTGCTGGGATTAATACTCCATCTCGTGGGCAAGTGCAGAGTATTTAGTGTAGTAGTAAGGAGGTCAGAAATAAAAGCCACTCTATTAGAGGCACTTTGTCATGTTGGTTAAAATTGTCAAACGGTTTCCTCCAAAAAATATGCAACAGTAGTCTCTTTTTTTTTTTTAAATCTGTGGGAAAGCAATTGGTTTTTGTACTCTGCACTTGCTCTCTGGCCGTGTAATAAAAAGGAGGTCGCTCATTGCAGTTCATGCCGAGTATCTGTGAAGCAATAAAGAATTTTGCTTCCACCCAAATAAATTATTCTCAACAGAAAGACCAAAAAAGTGGATAAACAAAAATAAAAAGAAAAAAAAATCCAAAAAACCAAAGACATTTTGGCGTCTACATCCTCTGACCTCTTACAGTTATAAAAATAGGTTCCTAGTATCTCTCTAGAAATAGTTCTTTAGCGAATCCAGTGTAGATTTTGGCAAAGCCAAAAGATTTCACACATATATTGAGGAGAAGATTAATTTCTATTTCAGGAGGGAAAAAAAAGGAGTGGCACGAGTGTTGGGGCGCAGTCTGCCACCAGCGATGGCATCACCGGAGATAGGGGTGCTTGTTGAGGGAGGGGCATCCGCAGAGACACAGGAAGCAGTTATGCGTTCATCAGTTCATGTTCCTTGTCTGTTTTTCCTACGGCGTCGGGATTCGATAGAGGATCGAGATCTGCGAAGAGGTTGTACCAAGTGGAAAGGTCTTTTGTGCTTTTAGATACATCTACAAAATAAATGGATATAGTCATTAGAACTCGGCTATGGGCCAAACCAAAAACAACACATATGATGCAGATGCAGCATACCACCAATAGCAGGACATTGATCTCATAATCAATTAATGTGCATTTGCCATTTTTGGCATTGAAGGAGCCTTTGCACTGCACTCGGGTGCAATGCACTGCTGTCTTCAAAGTCTCAGTATCTCTATCTATCTATCTATCTATCTAGTGATGTTGGGGAGCTCACAGAGCACTTGCACAGGGGGTTTTCCAAAACACAAGTCTTTTTATTTGCTCTTGCAGGGCAGCAGAAAAAAGGTAAAAACACAAATATTTGCTTATCTTCAGCACAAAGAACAAAACAAAAGATGTCTCACCGACTTGTTGTATAAAGTCCCAGACCTGGGAATCCCTTCCCAGGAATGTTAGTCCTGCAGCCCAGCACAGCACAGCGATACAGCAACACAGCAGCACAGCAGCTCTCTCTCACAGTCACACACAGCTACAGATGATGACTTCCTCCTCAACTCCCACACTCCTCTCTGGGAGCTGCGGACCTTTAAACCCCTTCCTGGGGCAGGAAGGTTAACCCTGCGGCTGTCCTTAAAGGACCTCAACCCAAATAGGGGTGATACATATCGCCCATCCAGGACCCAGCCTTGCCGTCCTCTACAATATACAAGTTTTCAGGTGGTGGGGGTCCTCTCCGCACACCTTACAGCAGTCCTTGCCAAATAAGAACGGTGGTGCTCCCAATGACTATCACGGATGGCACCGTGCAAAATACGAAGTAAAAGAAACAGGTCACAATTTTACTGCCTTGAAGAAGGGACCCTGTGCGGCCCTGAAACGTCGGCTCTGTTGATTGTAGTGACACAATTGTCCATTAAAAAAAGGACAGATTTATTCTAAACGAGTGCTGGTGACCTGTTTTTTTCCTCTACAATATACACACACACACAAAAAAGACTTTCCTTTCCCATTGTTCCCTTTTCACATTATAACGCTGCTCCTCGCAGTCTCCATGAACAATTTTTCCTCCCCCCCAATCTTCCTCTTTCCTCTCTTTCCCTTCCTTTCCATCTCCTCTTATCCCTGCCTGTTGTGTGATTGCATACCCAGCTATCGAGACTTGCTCCACTATAAGCTAGCGCGTGCCATTCTTTGTGGCTTTATCTAGCGGAGCCTCCCTTCCCGCGATAAACCGAATACCATCTGCAACTACTTGAGACTTTGTCACTGATCGATTCACACTATAGTGCAGGTCCTACTGTGTACCATCAGCGTCTACCCAGAATGCTTTATTCAGTACCTGAAAGGCCAATTGCCGGGCCTAAGCGCCGTCACTTAAGGTTGTGGTCCATTCCAAAGCGTGTGCAAGTGCTGATAATACTTGCCAATATGGAGGTACAGTCACAGCCTGATGGCTACACTGAAACACTAGATCTCTCTTGCGGTATAGGCCCATGGATGATTATTGTATATATAATTGACAACTAGATAGCAACACAGATGGGAAACCTCCCAGGGTAAGGGCCCATGGATCACTATGGTGTACAAAAGTTACTACTAGATGCTTACACAGAAAGAATAAGATTCCTTTTAGGGTAAGGGGACCATAGAAGAGAACTGTGTGCAGAAGCTAGCATGTAGTGGCTACACTGAAAAATTATGAGATACCTCTTAGGGGAAAAGGGACCCATGGATGAGAACGGTGTATAGAAGCTACCATGAGATGGCCACACTGTTAGAGCCTCTATCAGTGTGGCCATCTCATGGTAGCTTCTATACACCATTCTTGATAGAGAGTAGGGCAGTCCTCTGATCTGGTGCCCAGTTGATGATCCATGTGTTAGAAGGATTTCTGGAGGAAGGCGAGGAAAGAACCCTCCCAAGCTGGTGCCAAGACTAAAAAGGGTAAAGGTCAGTTCATGTGTACAGGGGTTGAGGCCTATTGTCACACTCACTCAAAGAGCCCATTGAGTGCTGCAGGAAAAATATGGGGTATTGACTGAATGTGTCCTCCAAAGTACTACTTTGCACCCCTGAGATGTAATCTGAATTCCTCCCTCGCTTCATGAATGGCCCACTAGGCATGACATGATGGCATGCCCCCCACCACTAGGAGGCCTTATGTATCCACTGAATCCTATATACAGCTGGATGTCCGTACTTCACAGGACATTCCAAAACCTGCAGAAATCACAATCAGCTGTATAATTCAGTATATTCTGCACACAGATGGAATCCGGCATGACATTATGTTCAAGAACCCGACGACTGCTGGAAATCGCACCTCATAGAACAATACAGGCCGTATGTGGCTCAGTTCTCACCTTTCTGTGGAGCTGCATTGCTGTTTTGATGGATGGTTGTGGATGAAGAGGCTGAGGATGATGATGGTGTTGAAGATAAGGCCCCACTGAATGCGGTCCAGTCTGAAATAAAGGAATATACAAAGTGACTGTGTTGCCCCTTAAACTTAATACTGGTCACCTGAGGGGCCAAGTAAAAGTGTTGGATAGATGGTGACATTATGTGCTTCAGCTTAGCTTGCCATCTTGTCTCTGCTACAGCCACCTAAGACCAAAATTCGGGTGACCGGGGAGAATGTGCCACAAGACTTTCTGCCCGAGTAACCTCTCTCTCTCGTTACCTCATTTCTTCTGCCCCCCCCTCACCTATCCACTCTTTTCCCAATCCCCCCTGATTTCCATCCCCTACCCTCTTCTGTCGCTTCACTTCCCCTTCTTCCTCCATGTGGTCATCTCTCCTGCCTCTTCCCCTCTCTTTTGACCCTTATGCTCTGCTGCACCCCCTTCTCTCCCTCATCTCTTCTATTCCTGCCCCCCCCCCTCCCCCCCCCCTTTTCTCTTGTACCCAACTCCCTACTGTTCCCTCATCCCTCCTGCACGCCTTCCCCTTTCAATTTCCCATCTCTACTTTCCCTATCCACCACTCTAGTATCTTTACCTCTTCTACTGCAACCCCCCTCCCCCCCATCCGTAATCTATTTGAAATGTCCTAGTATTTTTGTCACTGTTGCCACTCTAATGGTATTTGTCATCATGTAAATGGAGTAGATCTTTCCTTAAACACTTTGCCTGTGTTTATGGATAACCATCAAGAAGGATCAATTTTTGGATGTGTCCAGTGTATAACACAAACATTTCTTGTGCTGATAACCAAATACTAAATGTGTAGGAAAGCGCCTGGAAAGGACATATGAAAAGAGTGGAAGAGAGCGAGGTAAACCAAGGGAGAAGAAGAAAATGGTGGCTGAAATGACAGGCAGTTGTGACAGGCAGTGAACAATTACCTGGCAAAGGGTAAGAGAAAGCAATGGTGGAAGCAAGTCTCCGGGTTTGAAGTTCACCAAAGACCCCAAGTGGTCATGATAATGGTAATGCACTATCCATGGTCCCCACCCTTCAAAAGGGGGACTACCTGGACACTCCACTAAATACTAACCCACACCCACAAAACAACTGCTCCTCAGTATGTCTAGCCAGCTGTCCCCCCACCTGGAACACCGCACAACTTCTCCAGCCAAGCGCAAACATGCTAATAACAAAGTCAATCCCATCGCACTCCTGACCGGATGTAACCCAAGGTCATGTGTGGGTCCTGAGATGACAGCAGATGTGCAGATCAGCACAGCGTAGTAGAAAGTCACTCACACTCCAGTAAGATTTTTTATCAATGTTCTTTGACACGAGATCCATCACATTATTGTCACATTGTCTAGCTATACAATGGAACATATCTTGTGTCAATAAAGAACATGATCAGAAAATCTTACTGGAGTGCGAGTGACTTTCTACTACATCATGCTAATAACTGGTCACACCCAAAGGACTAATCCTCACCCATGTCAGCATCCTCAAACATTACTAATGCTTCCCCAGACTGAGGGTGCCACCTGCCCACTGATAGTCCAAACCCCAATCCTCCCAAGGACTGCTAGATCAGGTGGGTGTGTAGGAGGCAGTGGGTTCTAGAGCTGGTATGGCATGGATAACAAGCTTCATGTTCTGATACCACCACATATTCGGACCATTGAGAGTTCGGACATGGTAGTGTTCCGACATTGCCATGCTGCATTCTTATATAGTGAAATGCTCGGACATAGCAGTTTCCTTTATTTTTTCTCCACCTTGGCTATTTAATGAATGGATAGAATTTTGCTAGTTTATGTTACATGATGGAAAATACAGTAGTAGTAGTAGTAGTAGTAGTAGTAGTAGTGCAGCTGGCAGTGCCAGAAATTCTACTCCGGCAGATCTGTGTGGACTTAAAGTACTGTTTTTAATGTATCGATAATAAGGTGTTGGCTGTGGTCATTTTGTACATAAAATTAATTTTCTACTATTTTCAAAAGCTGATCAGTCCCACTTTGTAAGTTAACCCTTGGACTTCCTGCACTATGTAGTTAGCCGTCATCCCGTTCTTGTTTTTGACTTCTTAAAGTGCACCTGTAGCCTTGAAGCCAACACTCACAGTACTCCTGGACTGAGTGGAGGGGCACATCATTACGCAAGCGCTGCTCAGTCCTGGAAGAATGCCCGCCCCACCAGAAGAAGAACAGAAGAATCGCCTCCCATATTTTCCACCTCACCAAACTTTTGTTTACAATTTTCCTTCAAGCACCAACATACAGGGCCGGTGCTAGGATTCGTGCCTACACAGGCAAGGTGCATTTTTGCGCCCCCCTCCCCGACCCCCTGTAAAAACAGGGCATTTTGACAAGTACTTGTAAAAATGCCCCGATGTTTGCGCTATGTTTTTTTTTTCCCCACTTACCTTCGGTGCGGGAGAGCAGCGGCGAGTCAGCGCTGGTCCTGTGGGAGGAGCTCCAGGTTGGGTCCTAATTTATCTGGCCAGCGACTGCCTGAGGTGCAGCGCGTGTCGGGATCCTCAGGCAGTCCCCGACCAGCTAAATTAGTACCCCACCTGGAGCTCCTCCCACTGGACCAGCGCTGACTCGCCGCTGTTCTCCCGCACCGAAGGTAAGTAAAAGAAAAAAAAAAAAACATAGCGAACATCGGGGCATTTTTTCAAGTACTTGTCAAAATGCCCTGTTTTTTCTGCCCTCACCCTGCAGCGCCCTAAGGCGGCCGCCTGACTTGCCTTGCGGTAGCGCCGGGCCTGCCAACATATAAGAGGAGATATATCCACTCATCTACGTAAAACCAACCGTATAATGAAGAATGGAGACTGCTCAGGTTTTGGTCTAGCAATTGTGATGGTAGGAAACCAGATGGTGGTTCAGCTTTAGGTTCCAGTTCCTCGCTAGTCGGACTCAAGAGCTGACTGTTGAACAGCGGCTCCCCGAATACTTCTGTCCACTCTTTGCTGAGGTCTCCACCATCCAGAGCTGAGGCGCCCATGATCTCATTTAGTAGCTGCATCTCGTCCTTCTCCAGGGAGTCCTCCTCTGTTGGGTCTGATAGCGGAACCTTGGACATGGCTAGAAGAGGACAAAGGAACGATTTAGTCTTCTGTCAAATACAGCTCATACATGGAAAGAGAAAATATCTAGAAGAAAAATGTGCAACTTTTATTAGGGAAAGGAAAATGAAAAGGGAGAGTATAGTGCACTTGGGGAGCACATTTAACATTATTTCAATTCACTTTAAAACTAGAGTCACTTATGTTAGGGTTAGTAAGAGGACAAAGGAGAAACCTGGGAGCTCTAAAACTGTTCTCGGTATTGCAAATCATGTCTGAAAAAATGTAGCCCTCCTAAAGCGAGAACCAAAAAACACATTAAAAGTTTCCACCTGATACTTAAAGAGTCCCTGCCATCAGACCATTCCCTTCATCAAAAGTCTTGCCATAAGAGGGTCTGTGCATTTAACATTTTTGTGGGTAATAGCGAAATGCTGCATCTCCCACTACTTTAGAGGTGGGCTTTTTGGTTCCTTTTATACTGCCTCACCACAACCTTAATTGTTGTACTTTTCCCATTGAGGAACTTTAAAAGTCTGTATAACTATGGCTAGGCCGAGATGGTGTCAGCAGTCTGCCGCAGGCAGTAGAAAGCATTTCTCCAGTCTGAGAGGTAGCAGCAGGACATTTGAACACACAGTCAAGAACTGCACAGGCACCAGGATTTACATGGCCTGGGTCATCTGAGCCAGCACCCTAGTCCAGGAAGTACCGTATTTTGCGGTCTATAAGAAGCTCCGGACGATAGGACGCAGGGATTCTGTGGCAGAAATTCTGTCACAGAAGCTGCAGTTAGTGACCGCTGAGACAGGGAGCGCTGTGATTACAGAGCCACAGTCTCAGTAATCACACGGAGCAGACGAAGAACGACGGATCACAGCCCCCCGGAGGAGCGGGGGACCCCGAAAACCACGGCGGGGGGCGGACACAATCGCCGCCGCACGATTTAATACAAGTGATCTAATTAGATCACTTGTATTAAACGAGCAGCGGCTCCCACTGTACATTCAGCTCTGCTTGTCAGGAGCAGGGCGAATGTACAAAAAAAATTAAAATGACTCGCCCGGCGCCCGAAACTGCATGTCCCGGGTGTCGGGCGATAGGTATTCGCTCCATAAGACGCAGGCTCATTTTCCCCCTCCTCTTGGGGGAAAAAAAAAAATTGTCTTATGGAGCGAAAAATACGGTAGATGGTGATCCTGCATGATGTCTGAACATTGGAGGAAAACAAAAGCAGACGAAGGCTTTGTTGGGGTAAGTCATGTGATCTCTGAGAGGTAATAAATACCTGGAAGTGTTACACTGGCACATTACAGAACAATAACAAAATATATCTAATGCAAGGTCCATTTAAAGCTAAGTTCAGAGCCAACGAACCCCTTAGT